GCATCCCACGATGTCCATGCGAGATCCCTCGTCGTCCCACGGTGCCCCGCTGAAGGGTCAAATATTTTACTTATAAACTAGTTGTTCCTACAGTTCAGTTTAGCTTTGCATAGTTCTTAGCTTGATATCGTTTTACAAACATTAAAGTTATCGTTCAGCGTTTTACAATTTAGCTTGATAACATTTTACAAACTTTAATGTTTCTAAAACGATATCGATTACCAGGTCTCTCACCACGAGGAGGTGACTACGCACGAGACCCGCCCCGGGGCTTACAATATGTACCATTCATACATACAATCATACAGTACATTGAATACATACGATCATACAATACATACAGTACATACAATGCATACAATCATACATCACATACAACAATTCGCAGCCCTACTACCGCATTCTGTACGTTAACAATGCGTTAACAATGAATTTACAGAAATTAACTAAAACTAAACGCACGCATCTCACGAGGCATACAATCGTACAGTCATACAATCATACAATACAATTCACAGCCACCTCACCGTCTGTACAACGACGTTTATTGAATTTGGGATGAAATTAGGAATCCCTCATTTTCTCTCTTCCTTCGTTCGTTGTTGCTATTATCACTTTGTTCGTTGCACTGGCGTCGAGTTTCCAAGTTTCGCAGTCAGTCTTTCCAAGTTCAATAAACGTGTCTTTGTACAGAATGCGTTCACAATTTACAGAGATTAACTAATCCTAAACGCACGCAACTTAAAGTTAAGACGCACGCAACTTAATGCTAAGGCGCACGTATCCGGCGTTGTCCGTGCGAGGTCCCTCGTCGTCCCACGGTGCTCCACTGGGGGGGTCCAATATTTTACTTGTCAACTAACTGTTACGAACATTGACGTTTATCGTTTATAGTTTTACAATTTAGCTTGATGACGTTTTACAAGCTTTAATATTTGTAAAACTATATCAATTACCAGGTCTCACCACGAGGAGATGACTACGTACCGGTTTCATTATACTGTTGTAAATTAGTACTTTCTTATATTTATCACACGAATCACGATTTATGTTTGTATTGAATTCAAGTAATTTGTTTGAAATGAAAATGGTATTCCAAAAATAAGGCATAATCGTTTGATCAGTTTGATGAGTATTTTAAGATATTGAATAGACCTTCTTGTTTGACTAATTAATGGTGAGAGGCCGAATTATTTTAGATTCAAAGAGTAGTAGTTAAAGTAGTAATATTAAATAGCAATAGCATTGTTAGACTATTATTATTCATATATATGCAGAAATATAACGTATTTTATGTAATTGCGAAAGAATGGTAACTATCTTGTACGACTGCGATACAAGTTATGGAAATTGAATTCGTAGTCAGTGCAAATAATCATGATCATGTATTAACCCAACACCAAAGAAACCAAATCATGCAACTTACCTATCAGTGAAGTCAGAACAGTATATTAAAATTTGGCTGCGTTGGATTTAATTATGTTCGATGCTTCTGCTTCTCAAACTCTCTTCAGCAATGTGCGTTTGAACACAGTTCACAGTTTCACTTTTATCTCACTTTTAACACTTTTACGATACTCACTTTCAACATTTTTATCATTCTTTAAATCTCAAATAGTGTTTAAACAACTAAAATATTATTCAGTAATATTATTTAAAAATTTACTTCTATAATTTAATCGTGCCGTACGCGACGAAAGTTCAATTTGTAATGAGCTCTTGTCTTCGTATCGATCGACATTAATCCGATCTTTCGGTCGTTAATGGTGCGAAACAATTAAAATTTCTTAGAAATGTTTTAGTGACTCGATTGTTACAAATGATTAATTAAAAATTTTAAAGAGTACTTACAAATGTTATAGAAGAGAATTTGTTGTTTAATTGTTACAAATAAATTATTAGAAATATCAGATAATGTTTAAACAATTAAAATATTCAGGAATATTATTTAAAAATTCACTCCGAAAGTTTAGTCGATGTGTACACGATAAAGGTTCAACTTATAATGACCTGTTTCGCTGCTTAACCTTCAGGTGGATAGTCTTTATCAATACCTCCAAAAACACTTTTTCTATTACAGCAATCGATAATTCTATAGTTTTTAGGTTTTACTTGGTTAAAATTTTACAATTTGGTTATAACTACTCCCTCACCGATTTCGATGATTTTTTTATGTATTGCAAAAGTATTTTGAACAGTTCCTTCTTCTAACGGGTACGTTGGACTTTGTTCGTTCGGGATATCGATTTCTAAATGTTATTTAAGGATAGTTGAAATTAATGAAAAAATGGTTCGGCAATCAGAATGGAGGAAAATACAAACGAGCAATTAATTTAAACTCTTAATGCTAACACATAAAATATTAACATAAAATCTTAATACTAACATATGTATCATTAAGTCACTCATACTTCATATTATTTTTATTAATAATTTATAACAATAAATAATTTCGGCCGTCGAAAATGCAACTCATTGAGTTCTTAATAAATAATATCGTACTGTAAGAAAAAAAATATATATATATCGTTTAAAAAAATAAATTAGACTTCGAAATTTCGAAAACGAATAAATTTTGCAAGAAATAATTTGCAACGCGTAATGTGCTTCTTTATTGCAAACAATATTTGCAGAAATATTTCATTGATAAGTTAGAATTTTCATAAAATCGAATTTACGGGATAAAGATAATTCATTTAGGTTGTGAATTTGCACATTTGTAAATAAAAAGACGTC